TCTCCCGTGATGCAAGTTAAATACCTCAACTTTGCGATCGGACTGCTCAGGTTATATTTCCCCTTTCCAGAAGTGTGAAGTGCAAAATCTCGAAGCTTCTAGATTCTAGATAGAACGATATGAAAGCACATCCGCCATTTTGTATGGAGTGTGCGCGAGCCTCTCATTTCTAGGTATCTTCAGACGAAGAATGTTTTTTTTTTGTGTGTGAACCCATTTTTTAATATCATGCAGCAAAAATGTTTTTATTCTGAACAGAAATATATACGCATCGTTCAATCGCTTTGCGTGAATGCAGCAGAACCGAGTTTTTTTACTCTTTCCATTCCCACCTCAAAAAAGAAATACCCCCGTCCAGAGGGGAAGAAGCGAGTAGACATGGCGCGGAAATAGAGAACTTTTCAATCCTGCTTTCTTACATTCCTCTCTTTAATCTTATCTTACGCATGTTTTATGAAGTTTTTTCTGTTTCTCATTTTATTCTATTTCTGTTGGACACAGCTCCGTGAAGAAGGTGCTCGAAAATCCAATTTCACTAAAAAAAAAATAGAAAAACGAGAGAGTAAAAAAATTTAAGAGAACGTGGTTGATGGATTTTGCCTTAACATGGCGAAAGAAAAAAACAAATAGCCTGGGTTGAGATAAATTGAAGTCAGCACTAGTAGGGATTCGGATGGACGTGGCCAGAGTCGAAATTCAGTAAACCGTCCGGGTACTGCAGATTACTTTCCAGAACGTTTCCTCCAAGTGATTTTCTTGAACTTACTCGTGGAAAAATGCCATTTGTTCTGAACTGACGCAACACCGCTGAGGGGTTTCTCAACACGCCCAGCCCTATTTGTCTTGCCGCACAGGTTTATATTCCGTGTTAAGGCTAAAAGTAACTAACATTAGAATTTGTTGGTCGATCATTATATTGCTAGTCGCACTCGAAAGAAAAATATTGCTAAGAAGTCCTTCCACGCTAAATGTACATCTATTGACATTATCGAAATTACGTTGTTGCAGGATTTCGAATCAGTTCTGGTGTCTTTAAGCAGTTTTGAAGCCATGCTGTCTCATTTTTAGCGAGGCCTGATGAAAGCGCTAACAATGAAGTCAAGCTTTTACAAATAATTATAATAATATAATAATAGTAATAATAATAAAATTATTATTATATTAATAATAAAGTTTATTACCCAGGCATTCAGAAAGAACACTACAAATACGGGTTTGTCCAAGCTAAAATGAGCTTTTGGGACAGAACCCGGCAAGTTCGACGACGAAACTATCGAGTGGCTAGTACAGATAGAAGAATAAACGAACAATAGATAACATTTCGCCAACGCAGGTGGCACAAAGTAATAAAGGCAGATTTCAGGGAATCACGATAAATGTTTACATTGGCCAACATTGCTTCTAACTTTCTCCTTGGATTGGCGTTGTAAACACTTTCCGGAAGTTTATTCAAAACGAAGGGTACGTAGTAAGACCGGACTATTTTGCCGTAACGCGTAACACATGAGGGGGTAATAAAGCGTGGTGAGCAGCGAAAACTCCTTCCATGTACAAAGAGGAGCTTAGAATCATGACTTCCGGAAATGTCACAGCACTACAGTTTGCAATAAAAAAACGAAGAATATGGAATCTGTGGAAATAAAAAAAAATATATTAACGTCGGGTAAAAAATTCATCTAATATCCTACGCTCCTCAACAAATCCTCTAATATACGGTCAATTTTAATTTGCCACAGTTCCGCGCAATTTCCGAACACTGTAATACCAAATATAGGTAAGCTATAGCAAGGGCATGTGCGGTAGATTTCCTCGCGAAAAATTACATGACAACTGTATCATTATGAATTATACAACTAACTCTCCCAAGTTTTGCGCAAACGGACGACATTTGTGAGTTCCACGACATGTCAGAATCGAATAACACACCTAAATATTCCACCTGATCAGCATACTCGAGATGAGGGCACTCACAGACAAGGCAACTCGAAGAGTCCAATGCCACTTTTTTTAGTGGGTTCCGGAAGCCACCCAGTTTTGTTTTCAACGTATTGATTGTAAATAAATTCTCGCCGAATCAGTTCATTATTCGCGTCGCGTCATCTTGAAATAGCCGCACGACGTTGTCCTACGTAAGATGAGTGAATGCCAGTGTGGAGTCATGTGCGTATTAAAAAACGCCACAACAAGGGACTATCAGTTAAATATCGTTCACATAGAGGTTAAAAAATAACGGTGACCCGGATCTCTGGGGGACACCATCCTTTATAATTACCTGTGCACTTTTAAAATGTCCTGCAGTTACAATTTGGAAGCGATCGATAAAAAAGTTTTCCAGTATAATAAAAAGGAGGCCGCGGAGGACGAAATTCTCGAGTTTCTTAAGGAGCAATCTGTGGCTAACCGTATCAAAGGCTCTCGATATGTCCATAAAAAGGGCACATGAAAAAAGGTTGTTTTCGAAAGCGCTATGACTTAGATCAGAAAAGTATTCTAGCAGAAGCTGCGTAATTCTTCCCGCCACGAAGCCATATGTGCTGCGGGAACGAATGTCAGAGCTAACAATGAAACTAGACCTTACATGGACAGGTGTTTTTCAAGTATTTCCTCAATGCATGGCAGGATTAAGAGAGCACGATAGCATTCGTGCTTATCTGCGATTCCTCCGTTAAAAATCGTTTAACGAGCGCCGTTTTTCGATCTGCAGGTATGGCACCGGACAACAAAAAAACTATACAAAGACCTTTCATAGCGTCAAAGCTTCGACACAAATCACGATGACGGATGCTATCAAAGCCAGGCGCCTTGTTTCTACTTATACCAAACACAATGGAGCATAATGTGCATAGTTCAAGAGACGATAAAAACTCCGAGCGGACACTCTGGAGTCAGCACCCCAATTGGCTGAAACATCATCATGATGCATTGCAGTACCTGACAATGCCGAAAAAAACTTGTTGACAGTATTTGCGACTGACTGCAAAGTGATTCCGAAGTGCCTCCGCAGAGTCGATGACTGGTTGTTTCGATGTGTGTATTCTGAAATTGTTACTACGGCCCCACGTTTCTTGCGCATCTGTCCTTGTTTCAAAACACTTTTTCTGGAAATGACGTCGTTGTGCAGACCTGATAAGCGCGTTTACTCTGTTTCTTGCACATGTAAATTCAGTCCTTAAACTTATTGTTTGGCGCCAGTGTTGTACACGTTCCTCGTCCCTCTTAATTTTTGGAACGCGTTCCCGTTACAAGTTCCCTCTGCGAGAAAGGAACTCGTTCCCGTTACAGTTAAAAGAAGGAACGTATCGTTACATAAACGTTACATTTGTATTTTGCTAATTACCATATTTAGTGAGATCACACCAAGTTTTCTTCTTTTTTTTTATCTATCCTACCAAATAGCAACATACGAATTTGAAAGCCGTGATGGAAGGACACCGGTAGAAGAGAACAAGCGGAAGCAAGTATCATTTGTTGACATATTCACTTTTAAAAATCTCAGTGTTTTGCCATATTCAAGTTTGTGGTGGGTTATGCAGACGAGCCAAATGTACTGTTACCCCGCATTGCATGAGCGTTTTACAACAACGTCTCACGTTTTAATCTAACAAAGTCCCGTGTTCCAACTTAACAACAGTTGCTTCTCGATGCTGCTGTCCGCAAGACGAGCAAGAAGAGAAGAAGGTAGGGCATTTGGAAGGTTAGTCTTGAAAACTACCAGTCCCTCCTCGTGAAAGTTGGATTCGTATTTTAGTTTGAAGATGGGAGAAGAAAAGAGGGAATGAAGGTTAATTTTTGTGCATCTGCCCAATATTTGGGATACAAGGGTGCGTTTGATATCTAGTAACCTGTTCTTTTGGTGCAACTGGTTTATTTGTAGAAGTTCAGTGATGGCTGCAGTCGGCCTTAGATTTCTGGGTGTATGAAGATTCGTGGAAGCAAAGGAAGTAGCTGAGATTGAGACGTCCCTTTTTCTGTCTTTTGCTTCGACTAAATGTTTTCATTTCTGTACCGTATTGTCGGACACTCAAAAGAAAACCAATGCTCACTAGCTCTCCGGTACCCTACTAATACCAAACAGAAGCCTTGGCCCAAAATAAACACTAAGTAACAAAAAAACTTCACAAGATCCTGCTCTTCGTAAGTAGATTGCTTTTAAAATTCTTTTTTTTTAATTACCATCTTGGAATAAAAATAAAAATTACTCCACTGGAGTAAGAAAAAGGAACGCCGTTTCTTTTTCTGTTCCAGTAAAATTGTAACGAGTTCCCGTTCCAGTTACACCTATGCAAAATAGAACGGCGGCGTTCCTTCGTTCCTACTAAAAGAAACGCGTTCCAGGAACGCCGTTCTGTGCAACTCTGGCGCACGGCGAGAACGCACCCATAAACCTTTTTTGGTTTTAATGGCTACCATAATATCAGCTAGAAACCAAGGCTGTTATAACCTGTGGCTAAAACTGACCTTCTTGTTTTAATAAGTGTAAAATGACCGCCAAGTTTCAACAAAAGCAGGGTACAGACTAGATGGTGCAACGGACTGCAGCGACCCAGCTCAGTCGAACATATCGACCGATGCATCACATTTTACCGTATCTGTAATTGTTACACACGCAGACTCCGTACCTTTCCCTTTTACTTTCTTGTCGGATGTTTTAGGCGTCAGCCAAAAAATAACGGTCGGAGAGCTTTAAAGTAATGACTGCAGATTTCACCAAGACATCAGGAGACCTGAGAATAACGTGATATCAAAAGAACTACCAGTCTCCCAGACAGAAGTTCCTCGCTTGTGGGTAGGCTAATAGTTCTGTAGGGCCGGCAAGAAGGAGAAGAAGAAGAACCAGGGGCTTGAGATAGAGAGCTCGAGACCGAAGACACCATCGCGGACTGTCGACCGAGATGGAATGTACATATAAGTAAATATATGAAGGGCAGATGAACAACCCTTCATATGGTGACCCGGACGTGATCCCGACCTCAGCAAACTGAAATCTACACCTGACAGGACAACGCAACGGCAAGTCACCGTCGTTTTTCCCTTCACAGTTCTTCCCACAGTAGCCCGACATGGCTGACGCTAACGCCGGAGGTGAACAGCCGACCACCGAACAATTGGTCCACCAACTCGGCACTATCAGCCGCCGACTACCCACATTCTGGCCTGCGGACCCGGAATTGTGGTTCGCGCAAGTAGAGCAGGAGTTTGCCCGTAGAAACATCACCGCAAAAATGACAAAATTTCGTGAGGTCGTCACGTCCTTGTCGTCTGCAGAGGCAATGGAAGTGAGAGACATCGTCATTTCTCCACCAGACCAAGAGCCCTATGAACACCTCAAGCGAGAATTGATCCGGAGAACCACCGCGTCAGAACAGCGACGCCTGCAACAATTGATCACGGCTGAGGAACTTGGAGACCGCAAGCCGTCGCAGCTCCGACGACGCATGACACAACGTTTGGGCAGTCAAGCCTCCTTGCGGGATTCTTCCCTTCTACGAGAACTCTTTTTGCAGCGTCTGCCTTCGGATGTCCGCAGGATCCTGGCAACATCCAGCAATATTCCTCTCGACGATCTCGCCGAACTCGCCGACAAGATTCTAGATACGGCCCCACCAATGATTCAGGCGACCACTTACCCCACAAGTGGCCACCCGCTGCCTGCGACAGAGGCGTCTTCCTTTGATTTTCAAAGGCTGCACGATGACGTAGCCCATTTGATAACTGAGGTGGCTGCTCTTCGACAACATCGTCCTAACCTGCCTCAACCGAATCACATGAGACACTCTTTCTCAAAAGGCCGAGCAGACACACCACCAGTTTGCTGGTACCACCGTAACTACGGACCCCGCGCGCACAACTGCTCTCCACCTTGCAGCTGGCCGTAGGAAAACCCCAGAAGCACTTACTGAAGGTGACAAGTCAAGTGCTTCCTCCCTCTGCAGGTCACCTTTTCTTTATCGTGGAACAGAACACAAAAGTGAAATTTCTAATTGACACCGGAGCCCAAGTAAGCGTAGTACCACCGTCTCCCATAGAACGGAAATCTAAAAATGTCGCTGCGAGCTTACAGGCAATAAATGGATCCGGCATAGCTACATACGGACAGAAGTCGCTCACTCTCAATCTTGGGTTTCCGCGAATTTTTCGCTGGATATTTCTTATTGCTGATGTCAACCATCCCATCTTGGGAGCAGATTGTTTGTCATATGTTGGTCTCTGCGTCGATGTACGCCATTCACGTCTTTTTGACACCACAACCCGACAAACCGTAACAGGGGCCATCACAAAGGCATCTCTGTCACCCTCACCTGCTCTTCACAGCACCACTTCTATCTATCACAACTTGTTGAGAGAATATCCAGACCTCGCTAGACCAAGCAACATTATGCGGCCTTTAAAGCATAATGTTACACACCATATTGTAACCTCCGGGCCACCAGTTTACGCTAGAGCTCGAAGACTAGCTCCGGAACGCCTTCAGATCGCCCGTCAAGAATTTGACCACATGCTAGAACTGGGCATCATCCGACCATCTTCGAGTTCATGGTCTTCTCCACTTCACATGGTGCCTAAGGTGACTCCAGGTGATTGGCGTCCCTGCGGCGATTATCGCGCCTTAAACAACGTAACACAAGCTGATCAATACCCCGTGCCTCACATTCAAGACTTCTCAAGCATACCCCACGGGATGAAAGTGTTCTCTAAAATAGATTTAATCAAGGCTTACCACCCAATTCCCATCGAACCAAGTGACATTCCCAAAACGGCTATTACCACTCCATTTGGACTTTACGAATTTATCCGTATGCCATTTGGACTTCAAAACGCTGCACAAACGTTCCAGCGATTTATCGACCAGGTGACAAGAGGACTCGATTTTTGTTTTGCCTACCTTGACGATCTCCTCGTTGCAAGCAGAAATCAAAAAGAACACCTGGAGCACCTCCGCCTTCTCACGACACGTCTGGAGGAGAACGGCGTCATCATCAACCTAAACAAATGCCAGTTCGGCGTTCAGGAATTGATTTTCCTTGGGCATCGCCTTGACACCAACGGCATTAGACCACTACCGGATAAAGTAGACGCAATTATTCGTTTTCCGAAGCCCCAGAACCTGAAGAAATTAAGAGAATTCCTGGGATTCATAAATTTTTTCCGGCGTTTTCTTCCTAACTGTGCTACTACCATCCAGCCTCTTACAGAGGCCCTGTCTCCTAAGAACAGCAAAGACCAAGACATCATCTGGACGGATCGCAGAGTCCTCGCATTTGAGAGGATTAAGGATGACCTCGCGAGTGCCACGATGTTGGTTCACCCGGTGCCTAACGCTCCAACGCGTGTCATGACCGATGCGTCCGAAGAAGGCGTCGGGGCTGTTTTACAACAGAACATTGAGCAGCAATGGCAACCTCTCTCCTTCTTTTCTCAGAAACTACGCCCATCAGAAAAGAAGTATAGTACTTTTGGAAGAGAACTCTTGGCAATACATCTCGCATTGAAACATTTTCGATACTTCCTCGAAGGACGCTCCTTTCTCATAGTCACCGATCACAAGCCCTTGACTTATGCCTTAACATCCAGTGGACGTACATACTCTCCTCGAGAAATCAGGCAAATGGCGTTCATTATAGAATTCACAACCGATATCAGATACGTCAAAGGTTCTCACAACAACGCAGCCGACGCTCTCTCCCGCGCAGATATACAGTCGTTGGAAGGAACCTTCTTGAGTACCGTCGATTTTCATCAGATGGCGCGCACCCAACAGTCAGACCAAGAACTTCAAAATCTACGCTCTGGACACACCGCGCTCAGGTTCGAAGATCTTCATCTTCCATGGTGCAGTGCCACTCTAACGTGCGACATCTCTACAGGCACACCACGGCCGTTTGTTCCTCAGCAGTTCCGTCGTCAAATCTTCACGGCTCTGCACTCACTCGCACACCCTGGCATTCGAGCCACACAAGGCCTAGTCACATCACGATTCGTCTGGCCCAAAATCAATGTCGATGTTCGCACATGGACACGTACTTGTCAGCAGTGCCAAAAGGCAAAAATTAATCGCCATACCGTTGCGCCAGTCGCCAGGTTCAAGCTCCCAGATACCAGATTTTCCGAAGTTCATATCGACCTTGTTGGACCATTACCACCTTCAAATGGATTTACGTACATTCTCACGTGCGTTGATCGATTCACACGCTGGCCAGAAGCAACACCACTAACCAATATCACAGCTGAAGAGGTCGCCCAAGCCTTTATGACAACATGGGTCTCACGCTTCGGCGTACCGGACAAAATCACAACTGACAGAGGCGGACAGTTTGAATCCCGCCTTTTTGCACAACTCCTACGGATTTTAGGAGCAACGCGAATCCGCACCACGTCCTATCACCCGACCTCAAACGGTCTAGTGTAACGGTTTCATCGGCAACTGAAGACATCGCTAAAGGCCTGCAAATATCCAACAAACTGGTCAGAAGCACTCCCACTCGTTTTACTGGGTCTTCGTACGGTCTACAAAGCAGACCTCTCCTCTACACCGGCTGAACTCATTTATGGTACGACCCTAAGGCTGCCAGGCGAGTTTTTCCATACTCTCGAAGAAGATGCGGTACCAGACATGCAGAACTACGTATCAAGACTCAGGACGACGATGAAAGCTTTGCGCCCACCACCTACACGACAACCGCTTAACAGAAAAGTTTTCATGAGCAAAGACTTAGATACGTGTACACACGTTTTCGTTCGCAGAGACGCAATGCGGACACCTCTGCAGGCCCCTTATGACGGACCGTTTTACGTCATTCAACGGGGCTCCAAGGCTTTCCTTTTAGACCTAGCAAACAGACACGACATGGTGTCTGTTGATCGACTGAGACCCGCGTACATTGAGAGTGTACAAGTTTCGCCCCAGACACCATTGAAACCATCGTTGCGACACCCTCCACGACTTCAGACCAAGTCATCAATTTGCCGACATGTGCATTGGCAAACCGTGCCTTGGCCTTCCCGGAGGGGGGAGTAATGTAGGGCCGGCAAGAAGGAGAAGAAGAAGAACCAGGGGCTTGAGATAGAGAGCTCGAGACCGAAGACACCATCGCGGACTGTCGACCGAGATGGAATGTACATATAAGTAACTATATGAAGGGCAGATGAACAACCCTTCAGTTCTTTCCATTCCATATTCGGCCGAAAGTGTTAAGTAATCACAAACTATGGATTTTCCGGGTTTAAAAATGGCGATGTTAAAGTCTCCAGCCAAGAAGAGTAGCCCTTCTGAGGGTAGTTTTGTAGCAGTCCTTCGAGTTCTGCGAGAAAAAGTGAAATATTCTCCGTAGGCGGTCTCTACGCTGCTAGCAGAAACAGCAGAAAATCTTAGCCTAAACTATTAAATGCAATCGATTCTGCACGTTGGGAAGGCACACATAGATTCGGCAATAACCAAACAGCGGGACAACTTCTTGGCCAGCTGCGAGACCCGCGTCTTCAGTGTCCTACTCGACCTGCTCAAGCCGACCACAGCCCACGTGAAAACGCTGGGTGAGCTGCTCGACACACTGCGCTCGCATTTCAGCTCGGCTCCGTCCACGCTTATGGAGCGGTTCCGCTTCAACAACCGGAGCCGACGGGACGGGGAGACCCTCGGTCAGTTTGTCGCTGTGCTATTACTGTAAAAAAATTCCGTAAATTTACAAATCTTTTGTCGTAATCCAGACGTACTCTGTGTCCGTTATTTTAGTCTACGGACATTAAACCCGTTTTTGTAAGGTTGAATAAAATAGTACACGGTTGTGTGCCAAAGCGTACTATAGTAAAGAATAAAGGCGTTAAAATTGCTTTTAGTGTTTAATCTTGCTGAAAGCAATTCCTCAGAGTGAAAAGGCCAAAGGCAACCAAGAATCCTAGACTACCCTGCAAAAGGAACAAATAAAAAGGTTGGGGGGGAAACACAGAACAGATATTAAGTAAAAGTTCATAATTCACAGTAAAGCACATAGGCACTGCTCTACCTCACTGGGAGTGAAGGTGACGAGCTGCATGTCTACAGAAGTTGTCAAGCTTGTGATGATTGTTAGGGGGGTTCTGCGTGAATGCACATAAAGGGATTGCCATAACATTGAATACCACACCAAGAATGAATGCTGTTGCTCTATGGTAGGAACCGGCTCAAAGGCACCAGCACAATTCTTGTAAACTGCCTTCACTGCTGTCTCGTGAACTTGCAATTTCACAGCGTTGTTTAGGAGGCATAATAAGACGACCCACTAAAGGGCCACACTTGAGATCACTTATTGCCGCCAGTGAAGGGCCAGAATTCTAGGCAATGTCAGAGCAGTGAGTGATCCGGAGCGAGCTTGGCTGCCGAAGAATAGAGTAAGCTCTACTCCTTTGCTAAACATGTTCAGCTTATCTTACAAGATCAACCTCATATGGCGCTGCGATACTCTTGGTGTGGCAGTACCAGGGCTTTAAGAGGTACCTAAGTGTGCTATGGCCAGTTCCACAGGATAAGCAAAGTACAAAACCCTGTGTTCCGCACGTTTTGGACAAAACTCCCGACTTGCTGTGTGAAGAGGCATAGCTGGTTGTTTTTAGTAGACCTTGTCGGATGTTGTTCTGCAAACCTTCGTGGTTTTTGGGGTCACCTGATAAACGGCACCAGCATCAGGTTGTCTGTAACAGCAGTGGAGTCGTTTTCAGGGAGGCATTATCACGGTTAATAAGCATGTTGAGAACAACTGGACTCAGCACACTGTCCCATCAAACTGTCGAGCACTTGGGCCACTAGAAATAGTTTCATGATATACACAGCACTCTGAACAACTCAACTTGAAGGCTTCTAGTATGCACTCATTTAATTAAATCTAGTGTTAATGAGCACAAGTGGCTCGCTGGGAAAGTCGAAGGACTTAGGTTTCACGGAAGCCGGGCGGCACGCACAACATAGCAGCATGTTGCCATGCTTGTGGGAGGTTCCAGCTCGAGGTTATGGCGTCGCCGAAAGGGTAATCGAAAAGATACCACGACCAGCGCAAATCTAGAGTTCTTAGCACGATCCTTTCCATAAGGAGCGTGCTTCACTTCACTGTATCAATCGACAGGGTGACCGCCATAAACCGAATCCTGCATCCACGTTTTACATACCGCTAGAACTTACGCGGTATTTGCTCGGGGAGTGAGTGAAGGTGCAGCAGCTTGTTTGGGAGCAAGTGCCCATTTTGAGAATTACACTGCGAGTTGAAACAACGCAGAAGGCTCGCGTCTCGCAACGTCGCCTGTAGAATGAAGATTCGTAGAGTTTTTACACTGTGAAGGTAAGAGCGATCACATCGAACAGCTCAGCATTGAAGGGGCTACTGAGGTTTTAGGAGCCACTGATCGTAGTAATCGGATTCCAAAGACGTCGCGTTGACGTAGATTGTTTTTCAACAGCTAGATCATATAGGGCTGAGGCCAGGGTTGGGGTATCCGCCGCCAGAAACGTGGAGGAACCAAGCAAACGATGTGAGGCTCGCTGACTCGGTTCGTGGCTGCCGACGACGTCCAAGCAGCCCTAGTGGGGTCCTTGCTTCCGAGAAGACTGGAGATTCTCTCTGGCGGGCCCATAATATCCAGACAGCATACTTGTGGCTGATGCGGATTGCAGGAGGTGGATAACAGGACAGCCAACGCACTAGTAGGACGAGCACGGCCGGCACTCGGGACAATGGTGGTCGACGCGATGTTAAAATTAAACGCAGCCAAGCTTCGGTTTAGTACACAAGGTACTAAAATATTGGTTATGAAAATAATTGTATAAATCTTAAAACAACTTTCTGCATTTGAAAGTTGTAATTTCAATCGACAAAAACAAGCATATTCACGTTGCGTCAAATGAGCTTGGTCGAAACCAAAACCAACGGGCAACGAGGGCGACGAGTATCGTCGCATCGCCATCGACATCGCAAAACACAAAAACAAAGCGAGTTACAAACTTTTGGGCGCTTGCAGATAGGGTGACCACCCGTCCCGCGACTCGCGGGACTGTTCCGCATTGAGGGCTCGTGTCCCGCGTCCCGCAAGAGATATCAGAATCTTCAAAATGTCCCGCGATTCACACTGTCGTAAAAATCCCTACGCATCTCATGGCGCTGCCGAACAACGGGGCAAGTGCCCCGAGGAAGCGCCAAGGTCGCTGGTGAACGTGCGAATCGCGATGGTACATCATATTGTCTATCCAAGAATTGCAAGTTGCGACCGCCGTTCTTGCAAGAGAACTGACGTGCATGCGCCGTTGTGCCCCTCTTCCCTAGGTGGCAAAATATTGCGAGAAAATCGCTCGCCAAATGTTAAAAAAAATATTGTAATTCTTTTCCAATCGTGCTGTGTCTATGCAAAAAAAAAAAAACAGACGTATTTTTTTAATGGAGGACGATTACAGAAGGCCAATGGACTCCAAATCACAACAGTCAAAAACAACAACATAAGGTTCAAAATTTGTGTATAAGCATGTTGGTAAAAAGAAGAATCGACAGAAAAAAAGAAGCCGTAAAAAAATGTAGTATTTCTTTCCTTTTGATGCCTTGAGTTCTGCCGCTTCGATTTTACGTTTTCAACTTAGATACATTAATTAACATATGTGGCATTAAAGTTTAAAATATATCACTGGGAATGAAAATTATTTGAGCTTTACTGCCGCAATACAATTTGCAGCTTTATAATATGCTTTCGGACAATAAATTATAATAAATATGTTAACAGAGCCCCATTTCGCGGCGTGTGTCAATAAACTTCCTCGAATAGTTATTTTTAAATGATGCCTTTTAACCTGAACCTGCGGCAGAGGGAGTGGGAACATTTTTCTTCCTTCTGCCCATCTCGTGTTATAAGCATCATTGTCAACATCCATCAGCTCGACTGCAGACTAAGTTCTTTTTTGCAGTTGCCACAGTCGAAATATAAATCTATTCTACTCTTGCAGCCTCCTCTTCCTCTCCCTCTCCCCCCCCCTTCCCAGGTACGTGTCCCGCATTTCGCAAGCAGGAAGGTGGTCAGCCTACTTGCAGACTTTAGGAAAAAAACATCGAAGAACGTTCTTGGAAAAAGGAAGTGCCCTAGGTGTCGGCGTGCCAATGGAACAAGCTGTGGATTTAAGTCTAAGTGGTGAGTGCTTGCCCATTCGTTTTACTTTTTCAGTGCTTTCTGTTCGGAGCGTTTACGACGTTTTCTCGTGTTTGCAGTCGGCGTGAAAGCGAACGTGTGCGGTTCCTTGTCGCACACGTGCTTTCCGCATTGGATGACCCTCGAGCTTTTGCCGAGGAAGTCCCGGAACAGACCTGTCACTGAAAGAGCACTCAGACTGCGGGAGCGCACCCAGAGGCAAAGGTCCCACCGGAGGCAGAAGGGGCCAAGCGAGGCACTTGGTGAGTGTATCAGTGAGCTTTATCTCGTAGATCGGTTGACAAGGCTTGATTTCTGCAAATTGGGCGGCGGCTTGGTACCACCTAGATTGGCGGTGTGTTTGGCGGAACCCATGACTGCTAAAGGTACCCGTTAGTGTGCTGGCGTTCATATTTGCTTCCACTGCAAGAGGTTGATTTCAAGTTCGATTTTCGTCCTCGGAAACCATTCGAATCACTGCGTGACGAGCGTCTTTGCAACTAGGGTCTGTATTGAGGATGTTGCTTGCGAAGTGTATAAAAAGTTATTTTTCGACCTGGGCACTAACTTTTGATACAAAATCGTGTATATGTTGCGCTTATTTACTAACAACCCTCTGGCAGTACTTCATTGTGAAGGTTGGAAGAAAAAACAAAAAAGAAGACATTGAGTAGTGACAAAAGAAACAAAAAAGGTGTTTTAATGTACTTCCTGGAAAAGACTCTTAACTGATTTTCAAACTATTTCCTCAGCTTTCCTCCTCAGTTCATACGCAAAGTGAGAAATCGCGTGGTCGTATTTGACTGGAACCCAAAATTTTTCCAGCAGTCTGAAAGTCGGCAAGGGGAAAGCCCTCAAAAAAATTTACGCTCTACATTTTGGCAAGCGCCAACAACCATAAAGTGTAAACCGCATGTAAGAAATTTAGCGAGCGACAAGACAAGTGATGGCGACCTTTTTCGCTATCTCTCGATCAACCGCACGACGAGGAAAACCACATGAAAACGACGGTAGCATGCGACCAAAGCGATGAGCAAAGTTTTTTTAGAAATCCAAAAACCGAGCAGCGCGACGAGCAACAGTGAAAAATCTCCATCGCTCTTGCTCGCTAAATCGTGTAGATGCAGTTGAGCCCTAATTGTGTGAACGCGAGAGACACGTGCCACTAACTTCCAAGTGACTTACATTGCAGGGCTACACTGCCATTGGCTTCCAAGGGCTGTACGGGCCACGTGCACTTGCACTTTGACACCACTTACGAAACCAACACAAACATATCCAGGGGTTTTACGTGGGGTCAGCCATTCTACAAGGTGGTGCTGTTCAGTTAATTTATATCAAGTTAAAAATGAACAGCACTCTTCATTGATGGCTGATTCACACGATGACCTGATCCGCAGATGGATTGGTCATGTCCGCGGTTTGTCCTTCTCCCAAGCGCATCCACACGAAGAAGCAGACGCGCAAATGACAGCCAGGATAAACCGAGCACGTTCGCGACCTTATAGTGCCGCGAAACTCTAACATTGCACGATCACACTGTGGCATTGTCGTCCAATATCGAAATCGACATTTGCTACTTCGAACAAGAACTGTGCGCCGGTGTTACGTGCGGAGCGAGACATGACGCCACGATAGGCTTACTGCGAAGTGTCACTACCTTTACTAAACCAAGGCATGACAGAGACACAAGCATGGTCCTGCTCGAGGAGACGTAGGCGTGGAGGTGACGAAGTCCTGGGCTCGCAAAGGGGCATTTGGAGATGCCTTCACCCACTTTGCGCTCGCGCCTTCAGTACACCGCAGCCACTAGAAAGGTCTTGCTGGGTGAAAGGTTGACTGGAGATTTAAAGTGATTGCGGTGTGGTAGACGAATTTTGACAGAAGCTTTTCGACGCAGATGAGTACCAGAATCTGTGTCATGTCCGCTGGGTAAAGTTCCTCATACTAGCCTTTTTGGTATGAGAAATGAAATGAAAGAATGCTCTGTTACGATGGTTTCTATAATTTTTCTTTAAAAGTCTTGCTTGCAACTTTTAGGAAAGCACAAGCATTAGAGACCAGCTGCCCTCACAATCATGCCCCCCCCCCCCCCCCCCCTTCTTGGTAGTTGCTGCCGGTGAGCAACCTGATAGCCATGGGCTTTTCTACTTTTTTAAAAGCAATTAGTGGTTCTTGTGCATGTGCAAAAGTGAAAAGTAAGCTACTGCCCTGTTTGTCAGTTTTGTAACTCATTATTCCCTTTAACCGCAAATTTGTCTTCAGCCTGCTTCGCATGCACAATGCATTCATGGCATCTTCTATCCAAAAATTTCTATTGTGGGTTCTGTGCGTATTGGGCCGGGGGGGGGGGGGGAGGGGTTACTTTACTGGTTCAGTTGGTAGGCAGGAGATTGTGAGAAAGGGAAGGGTACATAAAATACAACCGTCATTTCTACTATGAAAACTTTTTGTTACAGAACTGACGAAAAAATGAGAGCAGGAAAAGATGTGGGACGGATCCCGTCTTCCTCATGCTTCTTCCTTCTTCCTCTTGCTTCTTACTTTCTGTAACCTAGTTTTGCAATTTAGAGTCATATACTACCACATAAGATCCGACGACGTGGAAGGTGCTGGAGCACCTTAACCCCTTAACCATTTTGGACCGAGCCTAGCTCGTCCACCTAGAGCCGTCCCTAAACCGTTTAGGATGAGTGTAGCTTACCCGCGCAACATACCTCGCCCCTTGGCTCTTTTTGAAAATCCCGTGCTTGTTCTGAGCGTAGTTTGCGATGGTGCTCAGAGATGGCAGCACACATTTTTTTTTGTACACGTTTTGAAGTATGGCGACCGTTTGTGGAGACAATGGCGGCCTGAGACGTACGTGCAATATAAATTTAAAAAACAACAACTTGGCATCAAAAACTGAAGAAACAAAACGGTTTGGGGTTAAGGTGAACAATGTGCGACATTATTATGCAGTCTGCTCCTTCCTTAGAGAATATCTAATTGGATATGAGACACACTTTTTTGACGTGCAGGCAACGTCAACAGAAATTTTAAGTGATGGCAGATTCCGCAGTCCACTTATGGCCGATTCACACGATGAGCTTATTCGCAGATAGATTAATCCCCTGACAAGACGTCCATGGGACGCCAGTCCCCCATGCCCATCCGTACGGCGGAGACGAGCAGATGACAGCGAGAAAGACCAAACCTATTCGCGGCTCTGCCATTCCGCGAAATGCCAGCATCGTACTGTGACACCGTTTTCCAAGGTCATAAGTGATGTTTACGACTACGATCATGGTGCTTCCATGAAAAAGAATTGGTGTGTGCCGCTGTTACATACCGAGCGAGACAAAGCATCGTGGCGGACTTAGCGTGGAGTACCACCAGCTTTACTAACCACTTGACACGAGTAAGGTCCTGCTCAAGTGGCTTGAGCGTCAAAGTGACGAAGTCCTTGGGTCGCTGAGAGGCATTTGGAAATGTCTTCACGCACTGCTTGCTTCTGCACCACTCTTCAGCAAACTACAGCGATAAGAAAGCCTTACTGGGTGGAAATATTAGTAATAGTTCACAGAGCACAACAGACAACACGCCATCGAAAGAGATCCATAAAAAGAAACAACACTCGCGCAGCGCTGATTAACCCACACGCCCAAGCTGAAGTATGGAAATATTGGTTTAACGTGCAGGGGAGCTTGCAGCCTGCTAGGCAAGTTTTGACAGAAGCTTCTTGACATTGACCCTGAGCAGTACCAGAAGCTGCGGCGCATCAGCTGGGCAAAGCTTTTGCAGCTTCCTTCACGAGTGGAAATGAAGAGTTGCTCGACAAAATGAACCAGCGAATAGACAAAATACACTGGTGCACTATTTTTGTTTGGCTCATTGGCAAACAAAAAATATTGCTGTGCAATGATAAGTACAGGTTGTGTGCTCTTTTTCTTTTGCAAAACATGAACTGCTTTATGTTTTGGCTGAAAACGAAAAATTATTCAAGTTCATATATTAAATGATGGAGCTATGAACTCTCCATACCAATCTGTAGACGAAAAGCTTCATGTGACTTCGGCTTTCTTGAACGTGGAAGCTGTTCGCGCGAAATAATGAAGCACTTCACCTTTCTGTCATTTTGAACTACTTTCCGTAAAAACAAGGCATATAATTTCGTAGAATGACAGAATGTCTGTAGTCCACATTATGGACAGCTGTCTGTACGAAATGTGAAAGCTTTCCGCACTAAATAACGAAGGACTATACTTTTCCGCCTTATATAAGCCTAAAGCTACGAGTCATCCGCACCAGTCCTCCACCTCTGATACGTCAGGTGACAGGCCTGGCAGATCTAGAGCTCTGCCAGGTGAGTCGCCTGATGTATCGGAGGAGCGAATGGTACGCATGGCTCGTAGCTGTGGCCTTGTATAAGGCGGGAAGGTATAGTCCTTCGTACTTAGTGCGGATAGCTTGCAGATTTCCTACGCATAGCTGTCCGTTATGTGGGCTGCAGACGTTCCGTCATTCTACGAAGTTATATGCCTTGTTTTTACAGAAGGTCCAGTATCTAGATTACGGGAAACCTAGCCGGCAATATTGAACCGGCAGCTTTTGCCCGTGAAATTGGGTGAATAGTTTTACAGCGTACGAGGGTTAGCGAATACCTGCGCATTCGGCGACCAGTTGGACTCGCTACTCCGAGACCGTTTCGTCGGCGGCATCAACAACCCCGTCATGGAGGCGCGACTCCTGAAGCTCCCCGACCACTCGCTGGACGACGTAGTGAAGGCAGCGCTGGCGATGGAAGCTGCAGCTAAGGACACTAGCGGGATTCCTCGTGCGGCCGGCTCACTGTCGACGCAAGCAACGGGAGCGGCGGTTAACACGGTGGCGACAAGGGGCTGGTGCCTGCAGCCACTGCGGTGCTGCCCACTACCAATCACAGTGCCAATTCGCCCAAGCACAATGCTTCACGTACGTGTGTGATAATCGGTCACCTCGCACGTGTCTGCCGAGCGGGAAGGACGAGCGGCGGCCAGCAGCAGCAGCAGCTGCCTGGTTCAAGCCCGGGTTCCACCCAAGCCCGCAGCCAGGGTGGCCGTCGCATGAGAACGCGGCGTGGACGAGCGGCACCAGGCCCGGGTCCCTCTTCAGCCAGGCTCCACGTCGTGGCCGAGGAGCTGCAGATTTTCGACTTGTTGCATACCAAAAAGGTTTATTGTCCGTGGCACCTTACGTGGTGTCTGTCGAAGTCTGCGGGCACCCGTTCACCATGGAGCTGGACACAGGGGCCAGCGTGGCGGTCAAGGCCGGGAAGCTGTTCAAGCGGACCTTCCCCGGCGTGTCCATTGACTGCACAGCTACTTCGGGCAGCTTTCCCTGCTCCAGGGTCGGGCCAAGGTCAGCGTTCGCCTTGGCAACAGGGAGGCAGTCCTTCCCCTCTGACTAATCAAGGGGTCGTCGTCTACGCTGCTTGGCCGGAACTGGATTCACGCGCTGGGTGTTCGACTGCCGGAGTACCACGAAGCTGCACTGCACGTGGTGAGAGCCGTCCCGAGCCTCCTGATCAACTTCCAGTCCCTGTTCACGCCGGGGGGAGGGGGGGGGGGGGAGGGCACCTTTGCCGGCACCACGGTCGGCATCCACGTACCCGAAAGAGCCCGGCCTCGTTTCTTCAAGCCGCGTCCGCTGCCGTTCACCCTAAAGGACGGGGTCACCCAGGAGCTGCAACGGCTTCAGCAATAGGGTATCCTGATGCCCGTCAAAATTTCAGAGTGGGCCGCACTAATTGTTTCAGTCCTCAAGCGAAACGGCAGTGTCAGAATCTGCGGGTACTTCAAGGCCACCGTCAACCCCGTCGCTACCGTCGACAAGTACCCGCTGCCTCGGATAGAAGATCTCTGGTCGACTTTGTCCGGGGGACAGAAGTTCTCCAAGCTCAAACGTCGAGATGCCTACCAGCAGCTGGTGCTCCAGCTTGTCGCACGGAAGTATGTCACCATATCGACTACCATAGTACTCTTCCAGCATACGCGCCTACCGTTCAGCGTGGCCTTAGCCCCAGCCATCCTCCAAAGGGAGATGGACAACCTCTTTAGAAGCATGAGGCACGTGGCGGTCTACTTGAACCACATCCTGGTCGGCGGTACCGGCGACGGGGACCGCCTGCAGAACCTGCACGGAGTCCTTACACGATTGCAAGACGCCGGTCTCAAGCTGAGGCTGGACAAGTGCATGTTCCTGACCCCCAGTGTGGAATACTTGGGACACGTCATCTCTCAAGCCGGCCTGGACCCGTCCCCCCGCAAGATTGAGGTTGTGCTCAAGAGCCTCATCAACTTTTACAGGAGGTTCCTGCCAAACCTGTCAACGCATCTAGAGCCGTTGCATCGTCTGCTTCGTGATGGTTAGCAGTGGGCCTGGAAGAAGGAGCAGGACTTGGCCGTCCACACAGCAAGGAGTTCGTCATCATGGCTCTAATGCTGGTAGACTTGGATCCGGTCAAGCCTGTAGTCCTCACCTTAGATGCGTCACCGTATGGGGTCGGAGCCGTCCTGTCGCACCAGGGTCATGATGGTCAGGAACGCCCTGTGGCGTTTCTTTCTTGTCGGCTAAAGGCGCTCATATTCCGGATTGAGCGCTTCCACCAGTACCTGTAGGGCCGGAAATTCGAGGCAGTCATGGACCACAAGCCACTGCTGGGGCTGCTGGAGCCTGATAAGGCAGTTCCAGTGCATGCCTCACCCAGAGTGGTACGCTGGGTCTTGACAATGGCGGCCTACAAATGCAAGCTGGTCTATCGTCCTGGGAAGGCCCTGGGACCTGCCGACGCCCTGAACCACCTGCCCCTGCCGGAGGTGCCTGCTGCCGTTCCAGAACCAGCTGAAATTTTCCTGCTGGAGTGGGCCTACCCGGGGGACTCAGCAGGACTTTGGTGGCGCAGGCGACCAGCCGGGACCCGGTCCTGATCCAGGTGGTCAAGGTGGTGTCCCAAGGGGAGGCGCTGCGCCACCAGACCTACAGCACAAGGCCGCCGAGCTGAGCTTGGAGCAGGGCTGCCTGCTGTGGGGTTCCAGGGTGGTGATTTCACAAGGTCTCCGTGCCAAGGTCCTGCACTTGCTGCATGCGGGGTACCCTGGCGTGGAAAAGACCAAGATGATGGCACGGTCGCAAATTTTGTGGCCTGGCCTGGACCAGGACATCACTTACCTGGTGCAAGGCTGCAAGGGCTGCCAGGAGCACCAGCGAGCCTCGCATCACGTCGAAATCACCTCCTGGCCGTTCCCACAGAGGCCCTGGTCCCGCTTGCACGTGGATTTTGCGGGACCCTTCAAGGGCCGCTACTTGTGGACGCTTTTTCAAAGTGGATAGAGGCACTGCCTGTCACCGCTTCATCAACAAGCGCGACCATTGCGGCGCTGCGGCAGGCCTTCGCGGCGCAGGGATCGCCGGACTTTATTACGTCCAACAATGGTCCCGCTTCCGCCAGCGCCAAGTACCTGGACTGCCTGCAGAAGAATGTAATCCGCCGGATGCTGGTTTCGCCGTAACACCCCGCTTCCAATGATGCAGCCGAGCGGGTGGTACAGACAATCAAGAACAAGCTCAAGAAGAGCCGGCCCGGGGATTTCCGGAAGCAGGTGGCCCGGGTACTGTTCCAGTACCGGACCACACACCATGAGGTCGCTGGTCATGTCCCCATGTGAGCTTCTGCTGGGCCGGATGGTCAAGACACCCTTGGACGTCGTGCATCCGGACCTCAGGCCCACGGCGCTCCTGAAGCAGCTGAAGCAGAAGTTGGCTGCTGACCGAGGGTGCCGTTCCGGGCCTTTGCCGGAGCCGGGAGCGTCGGTCTTCGCCCGGAACTTCCGCCCTGGCCCACCCTGGTCCGCCGAACATGTGGTCTCTTCGGCGAGCGCCTCTTCGCTAATCGTCCGCATGCCCGACGGCACCACCTGGCACCGGCACGCCGACCATGTTAGGCCTCGCTTCGGGACCGGGCTTTTACCCTCGGCCGTCGCTTCGGAAGACCAGCCCGCAGGGACACCAGTCGCACCAGTTGCGGCCAGTGGTGCGCCACCCACGATGAAGGCGACAAGCGTCGCCAGTCTTGTTGCGCCAGTTGGACCGGTGCCACTCTGAAATCTGGTCCCTGCGGCTCCACCGGATTGAGCGAAACCGGTTCAGGTAGCGCACGGCGTTGCCACACCTGGCCCGTCGACACCAGTGACCAGGCAAAGCACGCGGCAGCGAAGGCCACCTGACCTTTACTCGCTGGGGTAATCTTCACCGTCGATCGGCTAGGACTTGGCACGACCAGACTAGGAATTGGGGTTGGTCGTGTGCCTTGGCATTCATTTACTTTGTATTTTTAGAAAAACAAACTGGGGGAGAGGGATGTTACAAGTACGTAGCACCTCAACCAGTCCCCCCGCCTATGACCCCCAGACTCGGCAGGCAACATTGATCACAGCAGCAATAAACGCCGAGGAGCGCACGCCGCCCCGGTCAGTCATCAGCACCTCACAACCAGGCTGCGAGCCGTTCACTTCTCGGCGGGTGCTTCGGCTCGCTTTGTCCACGATCCCGAAGAGTCGTGACACATTTTTTCCGGATATATAGTACAATTCCACCCCTCTAATATTTTCACGTGTGTAAAAATGGTCTTTATAGGCATTCAAAGTACATTGTTCACAATACGAAGAAGGGATACCGATTTCGGTAAGAAGGAAGATATCTATTGGCGGGTTCAAATTGTTAACCGAGATTTGAAACTCGTCCCAGTGCTTGCGCAGGCTTTTGATATTTACATGAATGAGCGTAAGAGAGCTACCAGAAGTAGATCCCAACACCTGATGAAACAAGCTGCATCCAGGAAACGAAAAACATTCTCTCACGCCTACACGAGCTTAGCGAGGTCCCTTCTTGTCCTTGTCTTTTTTGCGCTATTTTATGTTTTACTAAGATGAACCAACTAGCCCAACAACGTTCCCTAACTGTGTTTATGCATATGACAGGGGGCCCATCCTGTTTCTTTGAGAAAACTTTGGCGTTTTAAAGCCACACAAGTGGGAAACTGCTTTCTTCGCCCGTGATTCGTGCCACCCAAAAGAGTTTCCTATACGCTTGGGTCAGATTGTCATAAAAAATAACTTTGGATCATTATCTGCTTGCCGTAGGTTTTTCAGCCCGCCACGCGCAGCCGTCCGAGCGTCCTTTAGGGTGACTGAGGCGAAGCTAAGCAAAGCTATGGGGGCTCCGTCGCGCTTTGTTGACAGGCAGTGTATTGTAAAGATTTCAGTCGATTGAGGCATTGGGAGGTCGATCTTCCAAGAAAGATCTCCGATGACCTCTGGCAGCTTCTCTCCGGGCACAGAATGGAGACAGTGCAATTCCATGTCGGAACGTCGACTGTACTGTTGCGAGTCAAAGCTCGTCTTTCAACCTTGAAATCTCCCCAGTTCGATTCCCCGTCACCGTCTTGATCGTGGAGACCCCATGCTGCAGATCCCTAACGGAAACCTCGTTCGCGTTGGCGCGAGCCAACATGGTATCGCACTTTAATTTAAATAAGTTGACGGTCGTTTCGAGCTCGCAAACCTTAGTGCAAGTTCATCGACCGCCGGCTTCAGGTCTAGTAGCTAATACACCTTTGCAGTAAACGGCAAGGACTGTCGACAATAGTTTTTAACGTGAGGAGTTTGACCAGAGCAGCATTGATAAAGGCCAGCTGACCAGCAACAATAGTGTCGCTAGCTTTCTCCCGTTTGTACAACTCAGTACGACCGGGGACGTCTATTGAAATATTACTATCCCCACTAGTGTCCGAGTGAAGCTTGCTCGTATTTTATTTATTTCATTTATGCATACCGCAGGCCATTCCGGGCCCAAGCAGGATGGAACAACAGGAAAGAAAAACATAACTAAACAAAATGAACCAACAACGTGAATGGCAGGTAGGACATGTCCAGTTGCCCCCCCCCCCCCCCCCCAACCCCCCCTCGGGAACCGCCCATTCCCACAAACGTACTATCTGCAGCCCCTGAGCATTGCTTTCCGAGGTGATATTCAATTTTTCCAGAGAAGCAGGTCAAGAACCTTTCATTTTTCGGGACTGGGGGGTTTCACTGAACGCAATCTATAAGACAGAGCACAACGAAGAGTGGTTACACATACGCACAAGACACTAATGACCGGCAGAAGATAACAAACACTGTGCAGTGGATGGCGTAAAATATGTAACTTTCTCATCCAGTGTTGACCTTTGGTCTCACCTGTGAAGATTGCAGTGGTCAGTATCCGAAAAATATTTCGTCACTGACTGCGATGAGCGTAGGGCTGGCTGGTCCTTTATGGCAGCGATGATCTGGTAGACCAACCCGGCGACGTCTGGCGGTGATTCCCTCCAGAAGGCAACCACAGCATCGCGACCGTGAATGGGCAGGAAGGTGCGGCTGGAAAAAGGTTACTCAATACGTGATGAACGTAGATTTCGACACCAGTGCCATGGTAATCTTGTGGGCGCTCGATGTCGGCCCATGTGCCGCTTGTTGCCTTTAGTGGTCAGTATACAAAAACAAATTTCGCCACCGACTGCCATGAGCGTAGCGCTGGCTGGTCCATTTATGGCCGGGATCATCTGGTGGACCAACCCGGCCACGCCTGGTGGTGATTCCTTTCAGGAGAAAGCCACAGCGTCACGACCGTGAAAGCGCAGGAACGGGCTTTCACGCCCGTTCCTGCGCTTTTCGACAGGCGTGCTATGGTAAACTTGTGGGCTCTCGATGTTGGTCCCTATGCCGCTTGTTGCCTTTGAAGGTTGCAATTTAAAAGCAGGGCTTTTAAATTGCTTGGTGATGCGAGATATCAGTCCAAACACCTTTGTCGCACTGCCAACAATGGCAGGCATGTAGCCAGGATTTTGTTTCAGGGGGGGGGGGGGGGGGCGAGGCCCGCCCATGACATAATGCTGTATGAGGGGGAGGGGGGTGAGGAGGTACAAGCAAAATAGAAAATTTCGGGGGGCCCGGGCCCCATGGGCCCCCCCCTCTTGGCTACGTGCCTGAATGGAGGGCACATGCGAAGTAAACGGCAGTTCATTATTTATGCTCATGCCAAGGTCTCTTACAACAGAGATGCGTTTGATTAAGTTATTTTTAATACATAATTGTTATGTACTCCATCACAAGGCCTGCACACTGACAAGACATTCGTTTTGCGAGGGTTTTGCAGAATGATGCGTGGCGCGAAATTTTATGAAGTTTCGCAGTTGACAGGAGTATGAACATTCATAAAAGCTTAATGTCATCTTCAAGCAAGAACTTGGAATTTCTAACATATGAAGCGTAATCTGTGTAACAACAGGGGCACAGAAGTTTAAAATGTAATTGTTCAGCTGACCCTATTTAAGGAAGCCTAATCATTTAGGAAGTTCAGCAATAAAAGGAAGTCAAGAATAGACCCTTGGGGAACACCGGAATGGGCGAAAATGTTTTGAGGGAGTATTATCTACTCGAACAGGGTTGAGACGACATGATAGGTAACATTGAGACCATTTGCACAAATCTGATCAAGAACTACATAAAATAATTGATGCAATAACAAATCATGGTTTACCTAATGAAACGTTTTTGCCAAATCAAAATGTATACAATTAATTTGACCTCCATTCATAAAAACAGGGGCACAGAATTTCAAAATGTGCACAAATCAGTTTTAACTGACCTTCCCGTCAGGAAACCGTGCTTTCAAGATACAATTTTTTTGACGGAAGTAAAAAGGAATCGGGTGATGCATAATGCGCTCAAACAGTTTAGAAGATCCAGACACTAAAGATATCGGTGATAGTTATTAGTAACAGAAGCGTTACGACCTTTGAAAATATGTATCATCACCGCTTTCTTCCAAAACAACGGGAGAAAACAGGAACTTAGAGGGAGGCTAAAAACGTGCTTAAAAATAGATAAAAAGTGAAAGCCGTTTACAACTCCCTGTAACACCGAATTAGAGCGCAGCTCTTGAGGAGGAGGAGGGAAGGGTACTGGGGGGTGAAATGACCTGGGGGGGGGGGGGGTCACGTGACCTTGGGGGTCACGTGACCCCCCCCCCCCGTGACCCTCCAAGGTCACGTGACCTTGGGGGTCACCTGACGATGCCGATGATGTTATCAGTGACGTCACTGATGACGTCATTCGTGATGATGACGATGACGATGCGGATGCCGGTGACGTCATCAGTGACGTCACTGATGACGTCATCAGTGATGATGACGATGACGATGCGGATGCCGGTGATGTCATCAGTGACGTCACTGATGACGTCATCAGTGACGATGACGATGCGGACTCCGATGACGTCATCAGCGATGATGACGATGACAATGCGGATGTCGATGACGTCATCAGTGACGTCACTGATGACGTAATCCGTGATGATGACGATGACGATGCGGATGCCGGTGACGTCATCATTGACGTAACATGACGTCATCTGTGATGATGACGATGACGATGCGGATGCCGGTGAGGTCATCAGTGACGTCACTGATGACGTCATTAGTGATGATGACGATGACGATGTGGATGCCGGTGACGTCATCAGTGGCGATGACGTCATCGGAGAGGTCACGTGACCTCGGCGGGGGGTCACGTGACCCTGGGGGGTTGTCACGTGACCTCGGTGGTCACGTGACTTGGGGGGTCACGTGACCTCGGGGGTCACGTACTTTGGGTGTCACGTGACCTTGGGGGTCACGTGACCCTGGGGGAGGGGTCACGTGACCTCTGGGGTCACGTGACCTTGGGGTGACCTTGGGGGCCACGTGACCTTGGGATGACCTTGGGGGTCGCGTGACCTTGGGGTGACCTTGGTTACGCCGACGGCGACGCCAACGGCGACGCCGCTCAAGCCGGGAACGGGCCCCTAAGAGCTGCGCTCTAAAACAATTCACAACAACCTTTAACAAAAATGGAATAGAGACAGCCTCAATAGGAAATATTGGTTTTATTTTCCTCGCAGCTTCAGCGATTTCTTCGATATCTACTCTAATACGAGAAAAAAAGTCATTGCAGTTGATTCAAATATTAGACGCTGAAAGCCTAGTAGAACGGCGAAGCAAGAGTCACTAACAAATCGGAAAACTTATCTGCAACCTCTACAGGGGCGGATACACAGCTATCATTATGTGAGCGGTCACATAATCCAATGATTTGCTAGTATCGCTTGTGGGCTGTTTTGTACACCTCAAAATATTTTTTGGCTTCGGTTTAAGCTACGCCTTATTCGTTCAAGGTTTGAGCGCTTACCTGTAGCGTACAACCTTTCAGCAAAAACGCGCGATAAATGCTAAACTAGGTGTACAATAAAATATTGCCACTTGGTATAAACACTCTGAGAAAGTGTTTTTTTTTTTTTTTTTTTTTTTACTGAAGCAATTTTTTTTTAATCTTTGGAAAGCGTATTGAGATAAATTAAAGGCTTTAAAATCCGCTGAGGCACAAAAGTATCAATAAGGTCTTTTGCAATCGATT